ACGATAGTCAAATGGGCGAATGGGTTCAAAACGCATTCCCATCTAACATGTGTAGACCTTTAATACTCGGCATTTGGTCCAAATGCTTCATCAAGAGACAAAAAATAATGAGCGGAGTTTCGAGACCAACAGTAGAGCTGACGTTTCCATTGAATTCCACAGAGTTTTGCTTTCCCAAAAGTTGTCCTCATCCAGAAATAGACTCCCATGCTGAGGCCTGTTAACCCTTTTTATTGAATCTATCCTTAATATTTTATATCATAATAATGGGATAATGTATTCGGCACTGATTTTGCTATCATTTTCAGAGCTGTCTAAGGCTGCATTAGATTGGCTTTAAAAGCAGAATAGTTAAGAGGATGAGAAACAAAGATTCAGTTAAATTGAGCATAAATTGCTCCTCAGAGGTGCTACTTTGAGAATTAATTAATTTGGCGGAAGCATGACTTATTTATGACTGCCTACCAGAATTGTTTTGGCATCGTCATTAGTTTGGGCAATAGCATAAATGGGTTGGGACGGACGATGATGTTGGATTGAAAGCATTTTAAGGTCAGCTCTTTGGGGTGCCCGTCTTCCGCCGGACAATTGGAACATGGTGTTTCTTACGATTGGACAATGCAAAATAGCAGCATTAAGCTCGATTTAAGTAAGTCTGTATGCAAAATTGTATGTAGGAAACATCAAATGCCAGAGATATTTTTAATAACTTAACATTCTTGAAACCTACTTATCTCTAATTGCACAAGTAGTACATTCGTATGCAAGAAGTGAAGATACTTTTTTAAAACCTACTAAACCCAATAATATCAGAATTATGAAAATGATATGATTGGATATATGTGAATTAGCTGGTACAGTTGACAGGACGACTGCGTAGGGATGGAAAGAGTTGACTCACTTTTGGAATGCACTCGCTTCATCCAAGGATAGATTACAGCTGCAGTTCTTCCTGCAACCAACGGCGGCATCGGAGCCGAGTGTATCGAGCCAGCGGTGCCGGGATTCGGTCTCTGCGGTCTGCAGGTTGGAAGCAGGCCGGCGTCGTCGGGTCGTGCGTTGCTAAGCCTCTTCAGGGTCTGTGGGAAGATGGGCGGCGGCTTTGTTGGCGGGTGAAGAGGAGACTGTATCGAGGCCGGCCGGGGAGTG